CAACTCAGGTCTCCTTCACTTTACCTACTCAGAAGCCGTAGACAACTCTGCTGTGCCACTGGGAACTTCAGGAGCAGGGAGTTAGAGCAGCAGGATTGTATTCCCCTGCCAGGCAAAATCATCTCTCATGGAGCTCTAAAATCCTGAATGAGAATGTGAAATCTCCCAGTAGGATTGCCCCTTCTCTCTCAACCACTGTGTGAGATGAAAGAGATGTAAAGAGAGTGATGTCAGAAATTGATGACTGAAATCCCTACTCTCTTTCTCCTGTTTCTCTTTGACAGGAAAGTTTTCCACAGAGCCACTTTTAGGCATCCAATTAAAAACAATGTTAGCAGAGCTTTTTTACTGGGTCCAGACATGTAAGAAATGGTTCTTAAAACTCAGCCCTTGCCTGAGTACAGCAGAGTTACAGGATAATAAACTTATAGTTTAAGGTACAATGAGTAAAATCTGAGTCCTATAAATTTACCTACATGCTAATACTGCCCTTGAGGGAAAAAGAGATACTTTCTTATACTTTAAAACACTGCTATCAGCTCACTCTCCTTAATAAGAGCCCACTGTGTCTGAAATGTTAAATGGGACCTACTAAGAAGTAAATTCTATTTGCTGCAACACTTTTTCTTACATAATGTGAAAACCTTTACTGGTTTTGTACAATTTCTTATCACTGAAGCTCTTTTCTATTGAGTGAGTGAAACAGTAATCAACAACCAGTTTTTTTTTATTCTCCCATTTATGTGCTAGTGACTTAGGCTGTTGTGTTCTCTTACTGTTACTGTGGTCTAGAAGCAGAAGACCCCTTCATCTCTCAAGAACCATTAACCCAAAATCTTAAGCTAGAATTGAAAATATATTCTATGTTACAGCACACAAAATTTGTTTAAAAACTTTGTATCATCATTTGCATTTGATACCAAATCACATGGGCTGCAAACATGAGTAAAGCATGAAAAAAAAAAAAAAGGCAGAAGTACAGGGAAAGGCAGCTAGCCTACACAGAGTGCAGTATTGACTTGCATGTTGTAAAAGGAAAAAAACCAAAACAACTCACCACATCACTTTCTAAATGACACAGTTCATTCCAACCCATTTAACCTACACAAAATGCTGGACTCCTGTGAACAGCAAAATCTGAAAACAATACAGACAGCTCTGCCAGCAAGTCTCGCACAATCACAGTATCTGTGTCAATACAGATATTTATGCAATCATAGCAATACGAATTTCAGAAGGTAAAACAAAAATGAAGTAAGATTGCACTGCTAAACATTTTCAGTCTGCTTTCCTTTACCCTGATCTCTTTAGCAAACTTATTTGCTCTATTTATGTATTTATTTTTTAACTACTTTGCTGTTATATCCTTGATTCCAGCACTACAATTTACCACAGGTGAATGGATAATGTACCTCTTCTAAATCCCACATGACTGTCAAGGCTGTGTACTGCCTCCTCAGTCTTCCAATACACTGCTGAGCTGCAAGATGAAAGACTTATTTTGCTATTTTAAGAAGACGTGTACCCAAGAAGGCACTCACGAATTAGCTATCTAGCCAACCTCCATCAACCAGCTTAAAAATTCTACCTTGCATATTCTACAGTTATGAATGTATATGGGTTACTAAAAAACAGAAAACCTGATTTGCAAAAATTCTACTTATATTATGAAACACCTTCTGTAACTACAGCTAAATAAATATATTAACTATGTTTAAAGCCTAAGGGTAAAAAAGTAGTATTTTCCTTACAAAGACTTCAACTGCAACAACTGACACTGAATTATAAACAATGCTGCTGATAAATATTCATGATAAATATAAGTCCCCTCAATTTAAAATTCTGCCTATTCAAATAAACATAAGTAAAATTTTAAAATGCATTTGCTTAATCCTGTTATAATTTCCTGATACAACTGTACTATGGTTTTGTTAAAATTTTAGAGCCAGGATTGATTCATATGTGTTCAAGCAAACCTGCCTCATAACACTGTATTTGATTACATCTGAACATGACTGCCTTTACAGCATTTCAGAGGTGCTGACATCTCCAATAACTTGTTAAAGAAGAACTAGTTCCAAAATATTCTGTAGCAAGCAAAGCGAGGCAAACATGACTTAAAACAGATTTAAACTGTGTCTCCATGAGGTCCCGCTATCACCAGATTAAAAAAAAAAAGGCTTTAAAGCATCACAATAAAAAGAACAAGACTAGCATTGCTAACTTCTTTCCTTGTCATTAATGCTAGAAAATAGGAAATACTTAAGTCCATGGCTCACAGCTCCCTAGGATAATGGGCACCCAAGCAGCTTCGTGTTTTAACATCTGTAATGTTAAAACATTACTCTAGACAAAGCCCAGCTCAAAGAACAAAAGAAAATATTTATTTGAAAAGCCATGAGAAAGCCACATATTTTAATTATGTCAGAGAACCCTTCTGTGATACCAGATGTTTGCAAGTCACACTTCCTGCCAGAACAAGCCTCAGTGAAAGAAAACTTAAGACAGAACTCAGAATGCACATCTCAGACTATGGCACAGAAGTGCATATATATATATATATATATATATATATATATATATATATACACATACATTTAAGACTATACACAGAAGTATTTCTCCATCCAGTCTTTAGATACCAAAGGCAACATCATCTCATCTTGCATTCCGAGCCAAGACATACACATTGACTAGGTGAAAGAAGATATGAAAGTCAGGGAAGTAAAGAAAATAACAACATGAAAGAATCAAGTTTTTATTATTAATGAAGAATAAGCTGTTATTATAGCTCAAGGTCACATATCATTAAACAATCTTCAGTTAATGCCACATCTGTTACTTATTGAGAGAATAAAAATTAAAACATAATAATTGTTTTGGTTTGTTTTCTTTAAAACCATCTGCAGAATTGCAGTTTACCACATACTGAAAGATTGTGTTCCACACAGGCCAGGCAAGGTCTGCCACTCAGGGTCAGCACTGAGACCCCAGGGGACACTGGGGTCAAATGAACTCCTAATATCAGGTGACAAAATAGGATTTGGTAGAATCTGCAATTTCTCTTAAATTTATTAAGAAAATGAATCCTTTAAATAACAACTCAGGAAGTCTGACAAAGTAACTAGAATAAACGTGGTGTTCCCACAGACTCAGTTCAAGTCTGTCCAGCAGAGCTTCTGTTTGTAGAATGAATACTTTATCAAGAATATAACCTACCACAACAGAACAGCAATACAATGGCAGTATAAAAATAAGATACATAGCAAGTGGAAGTGGAGGGTGGAATAAGAACCACAACCTGTGCAGGGAGGAGGAGGGACAGAAGGGAAACAGAAAAAGTTAACCTCTATCAAGCCACATCTGTCTGTTTAGAACAACATTCTTTTACAAAACTTGACAAAGTTAGTGTGCCAACATAAAAAGCAAGCAGCTATTCTAAGTTCAACAAACCTATATAGAGCCAATATTTAATTACCTCTTCAATATGTGATAATTTTACACATACAGTACCATATCTATCCATTTTACAATACTGCCTTCCCACGGGAAGAGCTGCTGTAATGCACTATGCAATTTTCACACTGTAAGCAATTACTATAATAAAATCAAGGTTAAAACATATGTCAAAAAAAAGCTATGTTCATAGTCAAAATAAGTAAGAAAGCAATTTTTTAAATTATGTAAATTCTCTCAAAAGTAAGAACACTCTCAGTCAAGGTCTTGAAAACTTTCTTGAAAGTCAAATCAATTTTGAAATCCTACATACACACACAAAAAAAAGTACTATTAAATTGGTGTGAGGACCTGATAATTTGCTCTGTTTATCTGTTTTCTCTGTTTCAGACACACCACACCTACTTCACCAGGAATCATTTCCAAAAAAGGAAAAAGTTAAACAATGATTAAAATCGCGTGCAAAAAAATGAATTAAAGGAAACAAAGCATGTGTACCACCAGGTTAAAACAAACATGCAAACAAACAAAATAAAACAACAGCAACAACAACACCAAAAATCCCCACAACCTGACCTTGGTCTAAACCAATACTAGGCTACAAAACATACCTGAAAAAGTTAATCACAGAAATTGTAGAACAAGGAGATACTTAATTTAAGTCTCCAGACAGATGAACTCTCACTAATGTTCCCAGAACAGTATTTCAAAATATTTCTTTCCCCATTCCTCTTTCCCACCTTTCAGCAAACTGTAAACCCATTCCTATAGGAAAGTTGGCAGCTCCACTTCATAGGTCTGCATCCCCATCTAAATCAACATTCATTCCCAGCTGGAGGGAAGACACAAACCTTATTAGGAGCCACTGACACACACTGCCTTTTGCTGATGCTGCCACGGGGTCACGTAGGGAAGAGACTGGAAGGTTAATGGTGGGGTCTGTAAAGTCCTAACTATTGCCTCTCCATACCTTCCTGAGTTCATTCACCAGAGCATCCCATCCCATCCCATCCCATCCCATCCCATCCTCTCCTGTCTTATCTCACATCAATAAAACAGGCATGTAAAATGAGGAGAACTTAATTTGCCACCTCTTCTCACACTGAACAGCAACTTATTGCCTAGGTAGTTAGGCAGATTTCAAAGGGATTATATTCAAGGATCTGGACATACTCCAATATAAAGATGATAAAATTGGTCTGTCTGAATTTCTTCTTCAGAAGATTATTATCTTCTACCTCTCCCTCTTTCTCTCTCTCTCTCATTATTGTTACACACCAATCTTTATGTCTCAAGTCTTGTAATTTTCTTTGTATTAGGAGTAAGAAAATGCATGAATTCTATATGGAAAGCAAATTTATATAGCTATCATACATGTCCTTAGCAGTTGGTGAAGATGAAGAAAGATTTTTTAAATGACTAAATAAATTAAAATTTAAGTATTAATTAAAATGGAGAAGGACTGAAAACTTGTTACCAACTAAAAAGGCTGGCAGTGCTGGTGTGAAAGATTCAGAAAACTAATTTTTTTTTAACTTATTTACCTGCAAGCAGAGATAATATTTCTTCAGCTCTGCTTCTCTTTTCTGTTAGCTTTAGTCAGTGCTTTGCCCCTTCTCAGGCTGAAAGAAGAATTTTGACAGAGTCACCACAGATACAGAAAACAGAAGCAGAAATAAAATGAGAGTTCTATCTAGAACTGTGAAAGCATGTAAGGAAGTATTGACAATTCAGCTGATCTTACAAATGCATTAGAAACATGATATATACAGGAACATGTCCCTAATGCACTATCACTCATTGTCAGAGCTCTGAGAACATAAAACCAATACTGACACAAGATGAAAGATCAAAAATGTCAAGGATCATGCAAAAGTAAGTATCTTAAACTCTACCATTGCTACAATCCCAAATATGGCTATGTTGTTTTCCTCATTTCAATTAAAGCACTGCTCCATAGTCTTCTTTCATCTCTAGAAACAATCTGCTTCAGTTTCCTATTCAAACTGTTGATTTTTTTTGCTGGATCAAAAGTCCAAGTTGCTAGAACAAAAAGTCATACATGGATGCACAGCACCACATAAAATGAAAATGTGTTACAAGTGGAAAATCATATTCCCCGTCCCCTCATCCCACAGTCAGAAAACTAAACAGATTGCCTACTTAAAATCCTTGATGACTTACCCATCTACCTTAATCCTTGATGATTTACCCATCCACTGTAAACAATAATTTTGCTTAATTTTCCTTTTACTAAAAGAAAGAGATGTCCTTGGATAACATGTTTTCTTACATCAGATCCACACTACCTCATAGCAACGTGATACTTCTACACCTACTGATACTTTGGTCTAGGAACTGTTTCCAACAAATGATCACACAAGAATTATTTGTAAGAAAACAGCTACTTGCAGCAGATTTTCAGAGAAGGACTTAAGCAGCAGTCCTTCAGTGGAGCTAGCCTCTAGTGTCATCTGACAAGAAAGGCTGTGCCCACAACCCAGAAAGCAGAAGAAGCAGGATGCACATGAGCAGCAGGATGTCTTTGATTTCACATACTTGAGACATGAGACTGGGAAAGCAGAAAAAAACCCACAACACTGTGTTAGCAATCCCCAAGGCTGAAACATGGAGAATCAGAAATGAAGAGCATGACCTCTACCACCACAGCATGACCATGTGCATGCCTAAATACATATTTACATGTTTTACTGCACACTCACATACACATTTATACATGACAAAAAATGAATTCAAGAGAAAAAAGAACTTTGCTCTAGCAAAGCATCTTAAGTGCAATCATGATCTTTAACTCAAAAGATTGGCAGTACCATTTGTAACCAACCTGCCAAACTGGAAATCCCAAGTCAGCAAAAAATATACAGGGGCGGTTACAAAGAGAATCTCAGTAGCTCTTAAACAAAATATCAGTCCTTGTTTTACTTTTAAGTTTGCTTCCTAAGCTAAAATTTTCAGTATCCTCTGAAAGAGGGCAGAAAAAGATATCAAAATAACTACATAATTTAGCCTGTCTGGCTGATAGCTACTGAGATATATGATGATAGTGTAAATCACAGAGGAGGGAGAAGGATTACACAGCGTGACTCTATAGGGGCATAAATGAAAAAGTGGGATGAACTCAGGGAGGAGGGGTGGCATAGGATAAGCATCAGAAAACATTTCTTAGCAGCAATATAATACAAAGCAGAAAGTATTTTCCCACAGAAAGAGAAGTTATTTAAGGCTAAATTTGATAAAACACTGGAAAGCACAGCAAAGAAAGCATTTCTGAATTTATGAGGTCATGGATGAAACACTTAATTAATCCTGTCCTTTAAGCTTCTCATTATTAGATTTCTGAGCAAGATTTCAGTATAACAAAAAAACACACAGGAAAAATATGTTCATTTTTTGCTGGGTTCTTGTCTTCATCAGCATTAAGGTTAGAAGTGTTTAGAAGTGCCATTTGCATTTGATGGAACTATTACATGCTGAGCTATTTAAGCATTACTGGTAATTTTAATCCCCTATTAGTTATTCTTTTGCCTATAACACAAAATTATCCTTTTAATTGTGGACTTTTATAGTATTTTTATTTCAAGTATTTCAAAGGATCTTACCAACATATGCCCACTAAGAACATCTTTCAAAATCCTTGTGGTGTATAACACTGCCTTTCATTGATCCAGAAGTTATCCTGTGACTGCTGAACTGTCCAGCTCCTTAATTGTCACGTAACACAATGCCCATGAAGTCCTCTGGAGGACTTAAGCGCCACAGGAAATTAGAAAGTTAAAATTGTGGCCAAGAAGGAAAAGAAAATTCAGTGTTTATTTTAGCCTGATGCCTGCAGCACACGAGATCATGAACCAGGAAAGGTTTAGGAGCAGTGGTAAAACAGGTGTTCCCTTGAAGACCAAGTATTACAACAGGAAATGCACTACTGGTTGTATTTTGGTTTTCCTATTGTTACTCTTCTTACAATCTTAATTTAAACAGTACACAACATTCTGCAATTCCGTTTGGAAAGAGATGGGGTAACTCATAAAAAGCTGACTGAGAGAAGACTTTCCTCACCATTTTTTTCTTCCCTCTGAATTTCCAGTTAGAATTTTTTTAAATGCACAAATAATTCAGCAGTATAGCTGAATTTGAAATACGGAAGTTTCTCCTCCTAAATAAAAATATTCTTTTCTACAGGACAACCAACTAAATTTTTTTAAATACCACAGTCAGTCAAGGCTTCCTGATGATACTGTGGAAATCTTAATACACCACAAAGAACAGTTAAATTACAGTTTGTTACATGTCACTGAAATCCAAAAATTCTTGTGATTTATAATCCTTCTTTTAAAGGTCCTACTGTACAGTAGTAAAAGGTCCTCCTAGTGTAGGATCTCACTGCACAACCCCATCAACCAACAACTAAGACAAGGAAACAAAAGAGACACCACACCACTGCACATTGAAATTAGCATGTTTTCACAACCTGAAAAACAATTACTAGAAGAGATTACAATATCACAGCAATCAATTATCATTCTGACCCCCAAAGAAAAATAACGAAAACCAACAGCAGCATATCAGGAAAGCACTGAAAGTGTTCAGTGCCATGTCATAAAGCTGAAATAATGCACCACAAGGAACAATTCAGCAACAGACAACAAGACATCACGTATGTTCCAGAGAGTAGAACAGCTCTTTCTTTCCACTCGGGTCCACAGCCCCTGCAGGTACTTCATCCAAATTCCTTCCCCTCCCTCCCCTCTTTTAGCAGCTACACACTTAAATATTCCAGGTACGGTTATCATTATATCCTCTCAAAGTGCTTATTCATCCCAAGAGCTGCAGAAAGGCAAGGCACATGCCACCTTCCTTCCCAGACAACAGGCTGAAAGCAAAGACAAACGAACACCCACCAACCCTAAATCCAGGTGTAGTTTTCCTCTCAGGAATGAGGAGGCAGTTAATGAAGTGGTTATTGCTGCTTCCCCATACACAGGCTCCAGTGTCACAGGACACACAGTGGTCATTTGGGCTGTGTCTGTCCTTTCAATGCCCAACAGGCTTGCAGTGGTGCACACAAACAAAGGCCAGCAGAAGCATCTGTATCCCAGCCACAGCAGTGTTCACTTCCTGCAGAATGATGTAACTTCTGGGACCATAACCCATCGCTTCCAAGAAAATACAATAACAAATGCTTAAGAAAGTAATTAAATTTCCAGTTAACAGTGCAATCCAGCTGCACAAAGGTGACTCCTTTCTGACAAAAACGGATCTGCCCTCCTTGAGTGCATTAAAGGTTAAGCTAGAAAAAGGAGACAAGAGGAAAGACTCTTCTCCTTTGATAAATTTACCTGGCATTTGATCGTGCACTGTATGGGCTTACTGCTTATTCTAAACATAGGAGGTTTCCAGGCTTTTTCAAGCGAAAAACATGGTTACCTTAAAAAAAAAATAATAATTAAAAAAACAAATTAAAAAATAAAACTCACAAAAACTGCCAGGGAGTTTCAGGAACAGGATTAGCATCTGAGGCTATCTAAAAATAATTTTAACTACTTTTTAAATATTAAGTTAATTGTAAGTTAAATTAAAATTGTTCTTGTAAACAAAATTTGATGAATGCTTTCATCCCAATTACTCCCTCATCTTTTAGAGCTGAGGATTGTACCATGAAAACTTTTATTTCCAACAATACCTGAGGGCTGGTGTAAAATTAGATGGAATAACTGCCACACTCATCCACAGAATGATATCACATTAGTTTGCTAAACTCTCCAACCTAAGCTTGGCTCTGTACATGACAGACCTATATCATTTTAAGCTGTCTGAAGCCCACCCTCATAAGAAAGGGCAGGGTGGCCACTGCTGCCTTCAGAGAAGGTAAGTCTCTAGACACAAAGCCAGAGTTCTGCTATAACATGTATTGTGGGTGGTGCTGGCCAGCCACCAACAGCTGCAAAGATGGGGAGCACCAGCATCCCAGATGGGCTCTGCTTCTGGCACTGGCAATCTGCTTTAAAACACGGCTTGGGCTACAAAGAGAATTTGGTTCGTCCCACTGGCAAATGAAGGGCATGCTTGCTTTCTGTTTCTCCATGCCCTGAATGCCAAGACCTAATCCAAAACACACTGGTTTGTAACTTACAAGACCTTACAAGGCCTAACTTACATCATGCCTCAGAAGCATGATGATTATCCCCTACTGTAGCTGTATATGTTTTCCTACGTTTCCTGTAACATTTCTAGTTTGGGTTTTGATAAAGAGAATATCCAGAAAATTTTCCATATACAGAAAATCTCCATTTCCAGAAGCCTAAAAGGGCTACTAAAACACAGCATACCCATAAAGGCAAATTTGAAATAAATTCATGTGTCTATACTAATTACATCCAAAAGCATAGAACTATTTTAGTTCTTTGCAATAAACTGTAAATTACATCAGATGTACAACTGACAATAGTACTCAAATACACATGCAATAAAACATGAGTTAAATTAGAAGCAGCAATTGAAATACTTTTGCCAGAGACATGTAGAATATCTACATGATAGCTGTTTTGAACACCTACTACATAAACAACAAACTCTGAAGGAAGTAGGAACCCTGTCATGATACCTGAAAGGAGGTTCTAGTGAAGTGGGTACTGATTTCTTCTGCTGTGCCTGCAATGAGAGGACCAGAGGAAAGGGCCTTAAACTGAGACAGAGGAGATACAGATTAGATATTAGGGGGAAAAAAATACATTGTTAGGGTAGTCAAGCATTGGAATAGATTACCCAGGGAGATGGTGGAGTTACCATCCCTGGAGGTGTGCAAGAGTCCCCTGGATGAGATGGTTTAGGGGTTACAGTAGCGGTGCTGCATGGACAGCTGGACTGGAGACTAAAGGTCTCTTACAACTTTGATGATTCTATGACTCTAAAGAAATTGCTGAAAATTCAAAAATCAGTATTAAATACAGCTGTGGCATAATACCTGCAAGCTACAAAGTTAAGTTTATTTTGCAGCGGCAAAACTTTCAGCAAAGGGGGATGCTGGATGTGTGCTTTAAATAACAGAATTCATCTTAAAAACAGGTATTGAGAGAGGAACATCTCAAACATCACTACAACACAACAGGCCCTGGTACACCAGCACGGATGTACAATGACTGCAATTGTCTACAGTGATTTCAGAGAATCACACAATGTTGGGGTTGGAAGGGACCTCTGAAGATCATGTAGTACAACACCTCCTGACAAGGCAGGGTCACCTGGAGCAAGTGACAAAGAAATGTATCCAGGGAGGTTTTCAATGTCTCCAGAGACTCCACAAGCTTCCTGCACAGCATGTTCTGCCATCCTTAATGTAAAGCTGTTTCTCACACTGAGGTGAAACTTTTGGGTTCTAGTTTATGGCCACTGCTCCTCATCCTTTTGCTGGGCATCACTGAAGAGCCTAGCATCACCCTCTTGTAATCCACCGTGCATATACTTATATGGATTAATGAGATCCCTTCTCAGTCCTCTGTTCTCCAGACTGAATAGGCCCAGCACACGCAGTCTCTCCTCATGAAGACATATGTTCCGGACTCCAAATTATCTTCGTGGCCTCTGCTGGATCCTCTCCAGTACATGAATTCTGACTACAAATGTATCCAGCGATTCCGAGGCAACTCCCCGCACGCATCACTTGTTGCTCCTTTCCAGCCCCGGCATCCATCTCCCCCCGCCAGCATCCACCTCCCCGTGCGGCACACCGCGCTGCTGCCCTGGCCGAGCAGCATCTGAGCGCTGCTTTCGCTTTCCCTGTCGCTCGGGCCTTCCCTCCCCGCCTTCGGGCCCTCCACAGCCGCACGGCCGAGCCCGACAGGCACCCCCGGGCCAGTCGCGCTTGGGAGCTGCCGGGCAGGCCCGACCCGGTGGGACCCGGGAACTGACCCCGAGTCCCCCGAGCCCTCCGCCCCCGGGGCTGCCCCGGCCGGGGACCCGTTCTTTCCCGTTCTTCCCCGCCCCGCCCGCGCCTCGCGCTGGGCCCGGGCCGAGCCGCGGGCCACTCACCGCCGGCCCTGCGGCTCCGCTCCGCCGCGGCTGCGCCCGGCGCGGGCGGCGGGAGGGCGGGGAAAAGGGGCCTCGCCGCGGGAGGAGCGGCTCGGTGGCGGCAACATGGCAGCGTCCAGCCGTGCCCAGGTGCTGCGGCTGTACCGCGCCCTGCTGCGGGAGAGCCAGCGCTTCAGCGGCTACAGCTACAGGTGCGGGGAAGGGCTCCGGGGGGCGGCGGACGCGGGGATCCCGCTGAGGCTGGGGTCGCGGCGGTGCTTGGGGCAGAGGCGCGGGGAGCTGCGGCCTCGGGAGGAGCGAGCCGTGCCCTGGAGCGACAGCGGGACCGGCACTGGGCCTGCGACCGGCACCGGGCCCAGGCCCTGCTCGGAGCGCCGGGAATGGGCTGCCCCCGGACCCTCTGCCAGGCTCCGGACTGCCGCAAAAGCACCAGGGTATGGGCTATTGGGAAGAAGGGATAGGACAGAGGCTGTCCCAAGCTGAAGCAGAAGTACTTGTGCTGAGTGTGGGCTCCTCAATACAAGAAAGGCAAGGAGCTGCTGGGGAGGGTCCAGTGGAAGGCCACAAGGATGAGGAAGGATCTGGAGCATCTCTCTTCTGAGGAGACACTGTGGAAGCTGGACCTGTTTAGTGTGGAGGAGGGAAGACTGAGAGGGGAGCTCATTAATGCATGTAATTATCTCGGGGGTGGGTGTCATGGGTATAGTGCCCAACTCTTTTCAGGGGCGCCTGGCAACAGGATGAGGAGCAAAGGCCATAAGCTAAAACACAAGAAGTTTCACTTCAACATGATGAAGACATTCTTTACAGTGAGGATGGCAGAGCACTGGAAAAGGCTGCCCATGGAGGTCATGGAGTCTTCCTCTCTGGAGACATTCCATACTCATGTGGATATGTTCCTGTGTCACCTGCTCAAGGTGACCCTCCCTTGTCAGGAGGTTGGCCTAGATGATCTCCAGAGATCCATTCCAACCCTAATGATTTTGTGATTTTGTAATTTTGTGAACCTGGTATAGCTCATGTCTGGTCTGTGTGCTGCCCATTTCCTGGCAGAGGAGAGCTGGGGTCAGGCTGCTGCCAAAGCTTGGCACCATGTGCTCGGGATGCAGTGAGGAATCAGAGTTCACTCTTCCTGCCACACAGGATGCCAGCCTGCCTGCCTGCCTGCCTTCTCTAGCTGTTGGTGAAAGGGACATACTGTTTTTTTTGGCAAAAGTTAGGTGTGGGCCTGGTCACCTTTAGCTATCTGCTGTGTTCACAGGTGGTGCTGCTCACCCATTGCATTGCCCAATGGTAGGTTGTTTACTTTACCACTCAGCTGGACCACGGGAAGGGACGTGTGAGCTACCTGTGCTGTGAATCATCTCTCGGGCAAGAGCTGGGAACAGAAGCCTTTAAACTTGCATAACTGTGGTGAGCTCTGTGCTCTGCAAGGCACAAGTATTCCACAAACCTCAGGTGTGAGGGAGAGCCCTGAGAAGGATTGTGGGGCTGAAAATGAACTGGTGCTAATAAACCTTCATTGCTGACTCCACTCAGCAATGTGTGTTTGCATCACATTCTGTTGCTGTCAAGGCTTTCTCCTGCTCATTGTTGTCCTGAGTGTCCCTGGTTACCCTTGTTCTGGCTAAGAAACACAGGATTGTACACAATGGGGGTGGCTTGAGATGCACAGTTGGTGAATGGCTGAATGAAGCTCATGGCTGGGCTACGGTGTATTTTCAGCAGTGGGTTAGTACTTGGGGGTGAGCAGTGAGGAACTGAAGTCCACACCAAATTTTAAAGGATAGAAATTATATTGTGTGTTTACCATGCTGATCTGGTTTTTAGACACCATGTCACAGTGCAAGTTGCGCCTTTCCTTAAAGGATAGATCTCTGGTTTTGATGGGCCTGACCTTAGATACTGTAATATCAGAAACTATCTAAAACCTTGTGCTCTATACACAATTGTGAGCATGAAAAGCCATAGCAGTTTCCAGCAAGAAATGATCGGCAGCTGTTACATTTAGAGGTCTGCTGTGACCACAACAACAGTTCTGCGTCAGTGTTTACACTGCTCCCATAGGTAAAAAAGGGACTCCCCATTGGCTTCTTGAATGCCAAGATAAGCAGCCCTGCCGTGTCCTCAGGGCTGCTGTAATGTGATATGGCAGTTTGTGGAGATAACCCAAGGACTTTCTGTAAAGAACTAACTTGCAGCGAAGTAGAAGGTATTATAAATTATTATTATTGATTCATGACTTCAGCTAGACAGTGTCAGAATATTTTGTTACTGCAAATTGCATATTTGTGAGAGTATGCCTGGAGTACGATCAGCTAATTAGTGTCTCTCTATTTGCTTACTGTGCTTTTTCTCCTAACTTGGCTGCTCTGGTTTAACTTAGCAGGCAGCTAAACACCACACGAGTGCTTGCTTGCTCCCCTCTCCCCACTGGGATGGGGGAGAGAACTGGGGGGAAAAAAAGTAAAATTTGTGGGAGATGAAGACTTTTTAATAGAACAGAAAAGGAATGGATAATAATAGTAATCATTAGAATATACAAAACACGAGATGCACAGTACAGTTGTTGCCAACCCATGCCCAGACAGTTCCTGAGTAGCCCCCAGCTGGCTTTCTCCCTGGTGTATATACTGAGCATAACACCCCATGGTATGGAATATCCCTTTGGCCAGTTTGGATCATCCTGGTTGTACTTTCTGCCAGCTTCCTGTGCCCCCCAGCCTACTTGCAGGTGAGTTGGTGTGAGAAGCTGAAAACTTCCTGACTTATTGTAAACCCTGCTTACTAAGAGATCAGCATGTTGTCAATATCACTCTCATCCTAAATCCAAAACACAGAACTGTACCAGCTACTAGAAAGAAAATTGACTTTAATTTTACTTCCCAGACAAAACAAGGACACGTGTACATGTTGATTGTGATGGAAAATTCAACTTTTTTATGTCTCTCTGTGTAAGTATATTCCTTATGTCATCATGTAGCCTCAGATTTTCTTCTAACACCCAGAACTTGTGGGGTAACTGTGAAGAATATCATTCATGTCTTAAAGTAACTGAGGTCACCACTGGCAGCCTTCAGAATAACACAGGAGCATCTCCAGTGTCCTGAAGTAAATGTCACAGAGTGTTGGGATACCCAGAAGTGTAGGCCAGGTTTTAACAGCAGGGAGAGGGAATTTAGCAGACTGGAAGTAATTTCATATCTGCCCTTCTGTCTTATTATCCAAGCAGACTGTCTGAGCATGGGTGAGTGATTTGCACTGGAGGAAAATCAATATGCAGAGAGGCAAGATGTTAGGTTTTGAGTCAAAAAAGTGATTTTTAACAAGTGTACTATTTTCTTCTGCTTGGTTGACAAAAAGTAGAACCTCTGATGGTTTATAATATGTTGGATTCTGGTCTCAAGTAAATGGTTATAAGAGATATTTCTAAATATCATTAGTGATTCAAATAATGGCATGTTGTGAGTGGTCTGGGTGCAGAATACAAAAGAATTTATAAACTTAAGAAAGCCATTCAAATACATCTGGTTGTAAATGAAGATTATCAAAACTTGACAATTTCTTGTTTGTTTAATGTGACTGAAGCGCAGTGGTCTTAACACATGGGAATCTGTTGGAAAGGAGTTCTCTCCAGGACAGTACAGGACTGGAGCAGGTCATCCCGGAGAGAGCTTGTCATCTCCATTTTTGAAGGTTTTCATAATAGGTTTTGCCAAAGTGCACCATGGCTGGCCTCCTCTTGTTGCATGCAGGCCTGTTTCAAATGTGACATTGACCTGGAAAAGCTCCGGAGTCTAGCTGACTAACTTATGATTTTCAGATCCCTAGCCTTCCTGGCCCTATAAAGATACTAACAATGAGTAATAAGTTCAGAGTAGCATCGTATGACATGCTTCCAGCTCATCTATTTTTTTAATTTCTTTTTTTTTTCTATATTTTTATTTTCTATTTTTTAATTTCTTGTAGTTATGTGCAATGTCAGAAGCTTTGAGCCTCTCTGTTGGAATTTTTCTGCAAATAGTTTTTTAATGTTTTTTAACAACTTTCTTGATTTATTGAATTTTTTTTTCAGTTATCCATTATGTTATCTTTTCAGTAGTAGTATTTTTATATAGATTAATTAAAGATTAATTTCTTTCTTGTCTCTCTAAATTGCATTTTAATGGAATTTGATTTTTCTTTTAGAATGTGCAATATTATTTGACTAATAAAGCTACTCAGAACATAGACGAATGAGGGAAGAAAATTTTTCAAAACAAATTTGTCCATTTGTTTTGCATTGGAAACAAGTTAATTGAATGCATGCAATTTCATCTAAGTTCTTCAAGATCTTAAAACTGGTAAATCTGATTTTTGCAAATAACTGCTAACATAGCAAAAAAACTGAACAAAATAATTTGCACTTTTTTTTTTCAGTGCCAGTTGCTTTTCCTACTTTGATGGACATAGCTGTTGGTCTGATTTTAGGGAGTCATGGAACATAGAACCATAAAACAGTCTCAAGATTGCTGCCCCTTTTTCTTGTGGGGACTTCGATTTGCCAGATGTCTGATAGGAATATAATACCACTGAGAGGAAGGAGTCTAGGAGGTTCCTGGAGTGTGTGGAAGATAAATTCCTAATGCAGCTGGTGACGGAACCAAATAGGGAAGGCACCCCACTGGACCTGTTGTTTGCCAAGAGAAAAGGACTGTTGTGTGATGAAAAAATTGGAGGATGCCTTGGGCACAGTGGTCCTGAAGTGACAGAGTTATGGAGTAAGGACTGGGGATCAGCAGAATTGTCCCCTTGGACTTCCAGAGGACAGATTTGAGCTTGTTTAGGAGACCTGCTGAGAGAGTTGCTAGGAAGGTGGTCCTGGAGGACAGTGTCCAGGAAGGCTGGACATTCTTCAGGACAGAAATCTTCAAGGCATAGGAGCATGCTGTCCCCATGTGCTGGAAGAGCCAGCAGGGAAGAAAATCAGCCTGGGTGAAGAGAGAGCTTTAGAGGGAACTCAGTAGGAAAAAAAAAAAAAAAAAAGGTAGTTTACAGAATTTTTGACCTGTAGAGGAAGGGGCAGACTATGCCAGAGAACTCCATGGATATCATGAGGTTATACAGAGAGAAAATTAGAAGAGCCAAACCCCAGATGGAACTTTATCTGGCTATTGCTATAAAAGAAAATAAAAACTGTTTCTGTAGATAC